GCCTGGCTTCTGCAGGCAGCCCTGAGCTGAAAGAGACCTTCAGGGGAACCCAACAAGGTGGGTGGAGGCTGGGCTGTCCGAATAGCTCACCACTGAAGGCTGGAGTGTATGCCCAGTCCTGGAGTCCAGAGCTCTGAACCCAGCTTCTGGCTGGCTACAGCTGTGGGGTTGCCGAGTGCAGCAGGAGCACTGTCCACAGGGTTATGGCCCCACAAGTGCCAGTCCTTGGGCAGGGGGTAGGGGTTGCTAGTTAAAATGTGCTGGGACTGCTGCCACTGCCCAGGTGCAGAGTCTGGGAAGAGGAGAGATCATCCTGCCACAGGCTTATAGGTTTCCCTCCAAGCTCCTGACTCTCAAGACCTAAAGAGCCACATGGGGGGCCAAGTACTTTTCCCTCCCCCAGGGGTCTTTGACCAGCTTCCTCCAGACAGCTTTACCCAGAGTTGCAAACAGAAGGTTTTCAGGCCAGAGCCTAGATGTTCCTGCAGTCAGCTTCCTAGAACTGGGCTGGACAAGGAGGACTGGGGGCTCTGTGGGTAGGGGTGGGGGAGCAGGTGGAGACAGCCCTGGCTTGGATGAGGCTTTATGATTTCTGGAGACAACGCAGGGCCAAAGGAGATCCTAAGATCCTGAAGCTGGGCAGGTGGGTGGGAGTTAACGGAAGGGGCAGAAGCCAATGCCAGGGGCCCCACCCCCTCAGCTGGAGCTGTGGCTGGAGGGGCGGGGCTGGAGATGGCAAGAGGTGTGCTGCTCACATCTCCCCAGAGGAGAGCAGGTGGCTCTGCTAGCCATCAGAGGAAGGGCAGGAAAGGCTGAAAGTGTGGGGACACTAGGGAAGACCTTCCAAACAGGGTGCATTCCTAGGGGCCAGCCTCTGGTGGTCTGGTCAGGGCAGGGCCAGGTCCTACAGATCCACAGGGAGCTGGTGGTGGACCAGATCATGTGGGTAATAGTCCCATGAGGCAGAGCTGCTAAGGGCAGTGGTCCTCTAGGACTAGGGGACTAGGCAGATGGACCACTTGTTTCCAGGGGCCAATTCTTTCTCACCCTCTTTCCTTTGCTTGAACCTTTTCATCTGCACCCACCACCGTCAGCACCCACCCACCCCTTGTCATGGAGTAACATGTATAGAGAGGTAGAGTCAAAATTGTGGACATGAGCTGAGGGCCCACCCTCACCTCTCCCCCTCCAGCCACTACGATCAACCTGAGTCAGGAGAAAAGGGTCAGGGTGGCAAAGCCTCAAAGTAGACTAGCTCTAATGGCTACCTGGGAAGGATTTGACTCATAGACCTCCCTGTCTTGGGGAGAAAGACCATTCCTTCCAGGCTGGGCATAGCTCATGACCGCTCCATCTCTCTCACAGCAGCCTGCCTAGGTCATTGGCTTTCCCACCACCTAGGGTATGTCAGTGTCCCCTATCCCTATATAACCCTTCTACTCCCCTAGCATACCCCAAAACCTCTCACCTAGGTAGACATCCCAGCTTGGGGTCAAGTCAGTCATTCCCCATCTCAGTCTGGGCTTCATCATATTCCTTACCCATGATCCAGACCCAAAAGGAGGCATGTTGTCCTGCCCAGTTATCTGAGACATTAGGGGGCTCTCTTCTAGGCCAACTCAGCTTATTCCAGCTCTCCCATCAGCTCTGTGACCTCCCAGAGCACCACGCAGCCTAGCGGCCAGTAAGAACTCATATACCAACTTTGGCTAGTGCCAACCCAATGCCAGAGGGCAGCAGGTTACTCAACTCAGCCTATGAACACCAAGGTCCTGGCCCTACCTTGGAAGGAGACCTCCCTGAGCTAAGAGCTTAATGAGATTCTCCTCAAAGAGACTGATACCTCTTCATTCTTTCCCTCCCTCCCTTTGCTCCCTGCATGTACATAGGGTTCCCACATAGATCCACTTGCCAATGACACTTCCCCAAAGAGGCAAGCAGGGCGAGGATGTTGTACCCCTTTGACAGGGGAGAAAATGAAGTCCTTGCAAGACCAGGACAGGACCTAGGATCTGACTCCCACTCCAGTGCTCCTTCCAGGACACTTAACTGCCATCATGGCGAGATTCTCATGACAAGCTGGGTCCTTATGCCCACCAAAGTATCCACTAGCTTCCCAGCCTCTCTGCCCTGCAAATCCTCAAGGCCCTGATGGCATTCTCAGGGACACAGAGACTCAGTTTACTCCCAGGAGTATTTAAGCCAGGGCTTCCAGTCTTGGTTCAACAGCAGGCATCTACAGGGTTCCCTTGGCTGTGGATGCAGAGGAGCAGGCAGAGGGAAGGTGGGAGGGGGTTCCCAAAGCCTGATGATGGACCTCTCTCCCACTATGACATCCTTCCATCTCCTTGCATCCCATGGGGGCATTCCTCACCACCTGTAGTAAGGAAGGTGGCTCTCAGCATCAAAGTCCCAAAATAGCCTCATGGCATCACTACCTGCCAAAACCTTCATGAGGCTTGCCACTGCTGTCAACACAAAGTCAATCCCCTCAGCCAGGCACACAAGTCCCTTTGCCAACTAGCCTCTGCCAGCCTGAATGCCCTCCTTCCCCAACCAGCTCCACCATATCCCAACACTCTAACTACACCTGTTGTCTCCACCCCGGGATGGGGCAGAGCATAGCTCAGAGACTGGCTGTGAGCTGCATTAGTCACATGCATGCTTCCACAAGAACCCATGTGCGCACATACAAATGTAAGTACACACAAAGATGTCCATATATACATGTGTGAATGTGCACATGCACACACCTTTATGTAGGAGTCTACTACTCAACTGCACATGGTTTTTGGACAAATCACACACACAACAGAGACCCCTCTCTGAGCCAGGAGTTCCATAAAACTGCTTTATGGATCTCTGGAGAGGCCAAGCATAGTCATGTCACCATCTCCAAGCCCTTGAGGACAGTGGAGAGGCAGTAGATCATCTGGGTCTGCCTAAGCCCTCCTTGAGCCCCAGGGCCTATAACCCCCAGTGACAGAGGTTAATTAAGTAGGTCCCAACCAGGTTCTTATCCTGGTTCTATGGCTGAATTGCTATGCAGTCCTAGATAAGCCACCTTCTCTCTCCCTATCTTCAGCTATAAAACAAAAGAGTTTAGATGAACCCACATCTAAGAGCTGTCCAGGCCTACCGTCTAGCTGCTCTTAGCTCATCCCAAGTGCAGAGAATGAAGGGGCCTGTGAGAGCTGCTGAAACCAGAGAGGCGAGGTACCTCCCACGGCAAAAGCCTCCAATGGGCCAGAGAAAGCATCTAGGAATGCAGATAAAGTGGGCACAAGGACAGTAGGAACCTGAGCTAGGAGAGACAGAAGCCAAGACCCAAGGGAAGGGAGCTCTTTAATGATCCATAATGAGCGAATGAGTCCTATCATTCACATCCCATTTTACCATCTAGACTGCAGCCAAATATATCCTTCTTATCTCTGGGGTACTGAGTGAGCAACTCTAATGGGTTAAACCCACAGACTATTTGGCCCTATGGGCCCAATCCAAGCCCTGGTTTCTCAGCCCCCACAAACAAAGGTATGAAGGGGCCAAGGGGGGAACAGAGGGAGCCCCCTGCATGAACCTACTTACACCCCAAACACTAAGCAGATATATCAGCATGTGTCCTGTGCTAAGTATCCATACACACACTCACACATGCATTCCCCCTCTTAGCATGCCAACACCAACATCTGTGTGCTCATATGCCCACCAAACACACCTGGGGACGTGGGTGCAGCTCTTTAGCCCCAGGCCTCCTACTCTGCCTTTGCCAGCAACCTGGCATCCCAGTGCTATGATCATGCCCCCAAAGGTAAAGACTGAAAAAGGGACAGGGCACATCTAGAGATTGCCAGAGGAGCACCAGGCATGACACTGCCATGTGAAGATAACCACGTCCCCTGGTCAGCAGGAACTCCAATGCCAAGAAAGGAAAGAGGTGCCCATGCATCCTAGTAGGGTACAAACTCCTTCCCTAAATCTCCATGGCTCCAGAGCCCTGCTTACCTCCCTCCCGATCTCCAGCCTGCCCTATGTGAGCCAGCTCCCCAAGTCATGAACTAGCTAGGCTGTCCAGAACCCAAATGGGAAAGAGATGCTTTTCCCAGGGGGAAGGTGTGTCCTCAGGGAGGGGAAGGGTAGAGTTGGATAAGGGTCAACAAGAGCAGCCCCAGGCCTCGCTGTTCTCTATGGCTTTTTATTCCTATGTGATTCTTCTGCTCACTCATATAGGGATTGGAGCCGTGGCGTACGGCGGGGACGGCCAGCGGAGGGCTCTAATACCCAGCAAGGGGGCCCAAGTGGAACAGTGGTGCCTCCCTTTCCCAACCAGGCTGCTGGTCAGGCCAAGGGAGCCATTCTTCTGTGGTTCTCCTCCCCACACACCTCTTCTCCCACCTGCTATAATGAGAAGGGGAAGGGGGTTGCTAGATCTCATCACTGCTTTGACTCACCATCCCAGAATTGGAGACACCCACTAAAGGGCCGGACCTTAGGCTAAACCAGAACCTGGCCTGTGTCCTCAAAGTGACTGAAAAAACTGGGGATGTTCAGCCTATGAAAGTTGGAGCTGGCATGAGGAAACAAGGTCCAGCATCCTGTGTGGCTGAGGGTAGTCCCTGGATAAACAGAGGGCTAAGAGCTGGGGGAAGAATTCAGCATAACCAAAAAAGGCACAATCGGTGGCTAAGGGCTGTCCAAAGACAGAAGGGACATCCTTGGTAACAGGTAGTAAATGTTCATCCAATGAGGCATTCAGGCTGAGGCTGGAGAGAGCATGGTAAGGATGCCACAGCAGTCACGGCTGGCTAGGTGGCCACTCTTGAGGTCTGTCCTCCCTGGGGTCTCTGCTTGTGCTCATTGAAGCTGTTAGGAGTCAGACTCAAGCTTGCAGGCTCCAGAGACAAGCACAGGCTTCCATTTACCTGAAACAAGTCCCAAGCACGCCTGGCACACATGCTACCCCAGCAGCTCCCCCATACTTCTTGCTCTGAGGGAAGACATACTGAGAACATAATGTGGTTCTTTTTATTTTCAGTCACTTTTGCTTTACTCCATGGGGGTAGGGGTGGAAACAGGCTGAGGGGCTCAATAGAGGAGTTTCCCAGGGGAGAAAAGTAAACTGGTCAAGGGTCTTGTCCTGGTCTTCAGGGGTACCTGCTGCCAGGGCATAGGGATAGAGGCATCCCCATCTGCCAGTCTAGTTGTGGGGAATGGACACGAAGCAGAGAGGTCCTGAGTGGAAGGTGTGAGGGCCGACTAAGCAAACAGGGATGAGCAGAGGGAGGGGCCCTAAGGCCCTGTGAGGGACAAACCCTGTCTGCCCTAGGACTTAGCCCTTGTACACCTCCTCTGGACTCCCCCTATGCCATCAACGAGGCCGCAGGAACAAGAGGTGGACATCCATGACATTGGTACCTGTCAGCCCTGTGTGCAGCAGGTGTGTCCCACCCTGGAGGCGGCAGAAGAAGCTGTGTGAGTCATTGTGGGCTAAGAAAGTGGCCATGTCCAATCCCTCAGCAGCAGCCTGGCTGGCAAGCTCAGGCATAACCCAGGCCCCAGCAGCCTCTGTGGGACCATCCTGCCCATCAGTGCCACCGCTCAAAAACAGCACCTCAACATGCCCCAGGGGCCATCTTCCCAGCTCTGCTCCAACACACATGGCCAGTTCCTGGTTCCGGCCACCCTTCCCTGAGCCCTGCAGCTGCACTGTGGGCTCACCACCAGCTAGCAGGCAAACTGGGCCTCTAGCCTCTGCCACAGCTTCCAGAGCTTCCTCCAGCTGCAGGTCTGGGATCTGGAGCTCAGCTGCCAGCTCCTGGAGTTTTGCATGCTCCTCCACAGAAGCCCCAGCTATGGATGAGGTGAGGCGGGTTCCAGCCACTTGGGCCAGCAGCCCATAGAACTGGGCCACACTTTTCACATCACCCTCCATGGCTGCACTCAGCACCAAAGCCCGGTAGCCAAGCACCTCAGCTTGCCGCTGGGCCTCAGCCAGTGCCAGTGCATTGGAGCCGATGATCACATTGAGGACGTGACCACAAGTGTGTGGCCCATAGGGGTCAGAGTCAGCCCGAGCCAGCACAGTCTTCACAGAACGTGGCAGGGCAGCACGAAGGCCATAGTGATTGAGGATGTGCAAGCAATCTTGTACGTTGTGGGCACTGGCCACAGTGGGACCGCTGGCGATCACCTCCACAGGATCCCCCACCACATCTGACAGGATCAGACTTACTACCTGGGGAAGGGCCACAGGGCAAGGCTCAGTCCCACCTCCAGCTTTCCCCAGAGCCCACAAGAACAAATTTCTCCCCAGGTATCCACATACCCTCACACCACCTAGTGCACCTCCTCACCCATATCTAACTCCTCTCAGGTAGACTAGCAGAATACCTGGTCACATGGACTCCCCTTCCCCCTTCCTAGGGCCTCTCCCATGATTTTACCCAGTGGGCCCTATGGATTCTCACACCAGACCCTGGACAATTTGCATGCTGTTTTAGGCTTTCATCACCCTGGCACATGTGGGCCTGGCTTTGCCAGCCTACCTGGGCAGGGTAGGCAGCCTGAGCCAGTCCCCCACCCTTGAGCTGGGACAGGGCCTTCCGAATGGTATTCAGCTCCTGAATGGTGGCTCCACGGGCTGCCAGCAGCTTGGTGAGTGTCTGTTTTTCCTCCAGTGTGACAGGTGGGATGGGAGCAGGTAGCAGGGCTGAGCCCCCACCTACAGAGACAGTAAAGGCATCAGATGAAAGGGAGATCCTGGCTCAGTGCCTCTAGCTCAGAGGTTAGGGAGCCAGCCACATACACTGGGGCTGGTGGGTTCCAACCCAGCTGGGCCTGCTAAACAACAATGACAACTACAATAAAAAAAATAGCCAGGCATTGTGGTGGGTGGCTACAGTCCCAGCTACTTGGGAGGCTGAAGCAAGAGAATCCCTTAAGCCCAAGAGTTTGAGGTTGCTGTGAACTGTGACACCACAGCACTCTACCAAGGAAGACATAATGAGACTCTGTCTCAAAAAAAAGGAGATCCCAGGGAACTACGCAAGCAGTAGTAGACAAGTCCACACTGGGAGAGGGGCTGGAAAAGTGGGGTTGGGGTGCCCCCGTGTGGACATGCAATATGTGCACAGTCACTATACCTTGGCCACCTGAGGTTGTCCCCTGCCTTGGGATACCCCAGATCCCAGAAGGCAGTGGAAAAAATTAACTCATCCTTAAGAGACAGGAATGGGAGCAGAGAAGGGAGCAACAGCAGAGGATTAACAATAGGGCGCTGTAAGGTCTGAAAAGCTGGGTTCTGAGCCCAGGTACACTGGTTCAGATAGTAGTAACAACAGAGACATTTTCCAAGGGCTCCGCTGATGGCACTTCCTTATGCACCCGCTCATCATCACCCAACAAGGTCAGTTCAGTGTGGGGGTACCCCATAGTTCAGGGAAGCCAGATACCTGGCCCAAGGCTACCCAGGAGTCACCATTCAAGCTCCTCACAGCCTCCTTTGCTCCCAATTTCACCCTGTGGCCCTGAAGGCTCAGACATTATCTCCCACAGACCTTATATTTAGCAGACCCCTGCCAACTGTCTTGAACCAATCTGGCACTCACACCTGAGATGAGCACAAGCAGCAGGTCATCGGCTGTGAGCCCCTCAGCCAGCTGCTGGATGGCCAATGCAGCACGAAGTGAATCACGGTCTGGCAGGTTGTCCTCTGCACCCTCAAATACCTGGACCCGGCTATGTGGCTTCAGCAGCATCTCCCTGAGGAGGGAGAGAATAGAAAATAAGAGATGGGATGGGATCCTCTCCTCTCACCTGATTTCTCAACTGTACAGGTGAAGGCAACATGAATGAGGATGCCAACTGACACCTATCCTGAAGCCAGGCCAGACCCAGAAGAAAGAGAGCTGCTACAGGGAGGAGAGGCTCTGTTACTATCTGGGTCTGGGCCTGGTTTCCTTCCAGGACACTGGGAAGCAGCCCACCACACCCCCCAAGGCTCCTTACTGTTTGCCGGCACGCTCCATGGCAGCACGGATCCCCTTAGGAACGCTGATCACACCCTGCACAAGATGCTGGCCTAGTAGCTCCTCAGCTGCAGTTGCCATGCCCAGCACAGCCTTGCCAAAGCCCACCAGGTAGAGGTTTTGTTGTAGCTGAAAGCTCCGGTCCCGTATTTTCAGTTGCTTGCTCCCAGGGTCCAAGGACAGTGTCCGGTGCAGCATGGGACCCGGCAACACGGCACCTACAGCACTCTTGAACAGCTGCTGTGCCTGCTCTGCCAAGGCCATGCCACTGGCCAAGCGGGCCACTGGGCCCCCCCAGAGGAGTGAACGCAAGGGGGCTCGGGCCACACGGGGCAGAAATTGCAGAGCTGCAGCCATGTCCTACAAATCTCTGCACTGCCTGGCACCCATGGCTCCTAGTGGGGGGAAAATCACAAATGAAGCTGTTGTAAAACAAGAGATAGGAGTTCCCCCATGGCCAACCCACTGAGGGCTCAGAGCCAGTAGACCCCAGAGCTACTGCTGCAAAAATGAGCCATCTGACAGCCCAAGGAGAATTCTTGAAGTCTACACTGCCTGATCTCACTCTAGTCCTTACAGACCAGCTCTGCCACCCAACATGTCCTCCTCTGCAGACCACGTGCCAGCCCTCTGAACACTCTGACTGAAGTCCAAAGTTCCTGTTAGCTGAGCCCTCTTCCTAAGTTACCCCCTTTGGCTGGGAGTTAATCATCCACAAAGGGAACAATTCCTACCAGTGGACTCCCACCCTGCCCCTTTCCCACCCCTTACACTTCAGAGCTCTCAAATAAGGGCAACATCCCTTTCTGGCACTCCTTCCTTACCTCTTTACCACCTCTGCTGCCAAGAGGCTGTCAATTGTCCCACCAACTGACCCCAAACCCACTGACCTCCAGCCTACTCTATTGCATTATCTCATAGACTGGAAGTGAAGCCTGGGAACACTGGGTCTTTGTGGAGGAGGCTGCAGGCTTACCAGAGCACTGACAGCCCAAGCCCAGAACACATCCTCAAGTCACACAATCTGAAGAATCCCAGCATTCGGAAGGACAGTCCAGGATGTTCAGGTTCAAATCAGGAGTGAGAGTAAGATCCGGGTTTTTGTGGAACCTCATGTGATGCCATGTGCCATGAGGGCCAATCTGCAGGACAGGAAAGGACGCCCTTCCACCCACATAGCTGGCCCCTTCTGTCTCCAAGATAACAAAACAAGTCCTGGGTCACACCACCCACAGTGATGAGAGCCAAATGGGTGGAGCAAGAAAAGGCCAAGCTCCCACAGCTTAGCCCACATAGTCCTGTTCCTCACTGGACAGAGTAAAACCCTGGGGTGACAGTCAGAAAGCCCTATGGAGGGCTTTAAGGACAACAAAGCCCCAAAGAACTCATCTGTAAAAATGCACTTTTTAAATAAATGCCTACTATAAATGCTGCAAGCTGACTCCATCAGGAACTACGGATGGAGCAGGAGAGAGTCTGGGAACTGGGGTTCTACCTTTATTACTGAGTAGCTGGAACAGCTCTATTTCTCTCAGTGGGCCTCGTGCAAAATGAGAGGTGTGGTGTGACTAAGACCAATGCTTTCCCCTTAATACCCTCAGGCTCTCTGATGCCATCCACTTTAGCACAGAAACCCCTAAACACATTTCACACCCAAATAACATGGCAATTTCTAATCCTTGGCCATGTAGTCTGCCTGGTTCTCAACTTTCCTATAAGAGAAAACTAACCCTAACTAATATACCCTATTAAAGGGAACACAGAAGATACTGTCACCGGGATTCTGAAAATGTGCTGGGTTTTGCCAGGAGGACCCCTGGGTCTTGCCCATTAGGTTTGGAGTTAAAAGCATCTTGGCATCAGATGATTTTTTTTTTTT